TTAAAAGACAACAGTGGCCGGAATTCTATCAGAGATTTCTGTCTCCACATGGGCAGTGACTCTGCGAGTAGCTGGAGCAGCCAGATCCCTGCTCTTGAGAACCACCAGCATCTTCAAATGGGGACCAAATTTCAAATCCCTCAGCTGAGCCAGCACACAGGGCACTTCTGGATTTGCATTTGCTTTGTGGTTGGAATTTTAACTTAAAACCCTTCTAATTAGAGAAAGATTCAGATTTTTTTTTTGATATTCCTTACTTATCTTCCATGCTAGCTACCATCTCTCAAACTCCAGGTTCTCTCTCTGTGCAACCTGAAATCTGAGTTCACCTCACAACACTGCTATGAGAGATGAAATAATGAATATAGTGTGTGACAACCGTGCAAGCTAAATACACGTTGGTCAAGTCACTGGTCTCCATCTTCACTCATGTTACATACCCTGATACCTGTTACCACCCTCCTCAAGAAGATATTTAGGCAGAGAATGAATTACAGGGAAGCTTTCAAAAAGGAGTGTACAGAGGCCTACAACTATGTTAGTGTTGGAGCATCTTCCTGAGCAAATCCCTCAGGACATTAAGGATGTGAGATAAACTGAAAAATCACAGCAAATCAGTGTGAGAAGTGATCAACAAAAGTGAAAAACTCAAGTGCCACTAGCCAAAATGGAAATTGTAAAAAAAAAAAAATGTGTTTAGCAGTAAAACCTTCTCCAAATGTCTAATAACTTACAAATCTCAAGAAGAAATAAAATCAAGCCTTTCAGATATTCCCAAGATTTCCATGATTTTAAAACCCAATAAGAAAGTTTCCTTACTGAAACTTTAATGGGTTTCTTAGGAATAAAAGCACTGAAAATGACAATAAATGCTAGATATAGATTGCCTAAGCAAGCAATAAATTTTTTGCTTCTTCCAGCTACCACTGTAGCTATTGTTGCTTTTTTGAAAATCAAACTGAACCAAACATACTGGAACTGAACAAGTTCCAGGCACCACCAGCTGGGCATCATGACTAACACAGTTAATAGCAAAAGTTTCATTAAGTTAATAAACAAACAGGCATTCACATTTCGCCGCTGGACCTGGCAACACGCCGCTGGACCTGGCAACAGGGTTTCGATACAATTCCAACCGTTCAAATCTGAATTCACAAATGAATAATAATAAAAAAAAAACACAATGCAAAGCAACCTCAAAACCCAGGAACTTCTATCACTATATCACCATACTACCACTATGTATCACCACTACTACTATCACGTACTGCCTTGTATCATCCAAAAAGAACTGGTGTTTTTCACTTGGTGCAGTGCAAGCAGGTAACGCTCAAAAAAGGGCCGCACTAAACAGATGAGTAAGTACTGGGAAGAAACAGAGGTTGCATGTGAGCTGAGAGCGCAAGGTAATGGTAGCAAATATCATGATAGTCTCATTTCTTTATTATTTAAATCTTTTTTTCTTTTTTTTTCTTTTTTTTTCCTGTGTTACTCTGTAGGGGGATATTTGATTACAAAAAGGAAACAGGAACACAAACCTTCAGTTAAATAAACCATCAGCAAGGAGGATGAAATATTAAGAGCGAAAACCTGCAGGAAGTGCCTATGAAACAATATCCCAATGTTCCTAAAGGGAAAAAAAAATCCCTAAGTCAAAAAAAAACAGCTGCACAAAAGCAGATGATTAGTATGAATGCAAAGCAGGTAACAACAATAACTTGCATTGCTTCGAGGGACCAGCTTGCAATGGCAAGTACCCACTGGACACTCATCTGTTAGCTGGGTCCTGGGCAATGTGCAACACAAACAGAAAATGAAACAGTTAAAACATAAATTATGCACTCTACTGCATTACACTGAAAAGCCTGTCTCAGGGTGGTAATTCTAACTCCAACTTTTTTAATTATTTTAAGGCTAAGGCACAGAAATATAACAGATTTTCCTAGTTTTCATAAGACAGTGAAGTTTTCTGCCAATTTTTACCCCACTATCCATTTAGTACTGGTGACAGGGAAAGAAAACTTAATCCTATGAAGGAAATACAGGCATTACCTTAAACTAATTAGCCTCAAATAAATACAAGCAAGGCAGACTAATTTTAGCTTTTTATCCCCATCTTGAAAAACGAACAGTTTTTATTTAATAAATCTGAAAATTGATTGTAACAAACCAACAAAAACATTTTGAAACCTCTCGGTGCTCAATTGCTAAAGTAAATAGTGGAGTCCTATTATTAAATTTTGTAACGCAATGGCGTAAAAATAAAAAGATGTAAGAAAATGTAGATTGTAGGTTTATGTTTTTAATATCTCATTAGGCATTATAAAAACTGTAGCTAGTCTTACATAAATACATTGTAACATTGCTGTCTCTAGGTCTCTTATAAACCCCCCAAAATCTGCATATGTCAAATTATAAATTATTATGCAATAGTGAAGCTCTATGAACACTTCGTATATGAAGGAAAAGGGATTCTGAGGTGGAAAAACACCTGATACGGTGATACTGAGACATTCAAATTAAAGCATTAAGAGAGCATAATGAGAACTGCCATTGTGTTCAATCATCACACAAAAGAAAAGCTCAGTGAAGGAGTTGAAGGAAATGCATTTGTTTTAAGTAGGGATCAAACCGCCTGTGTTTGCAACTAGTAATGGCATTTTTCATTATCATTCTTTTGCATACAGCCCAATTCAATTTCAGACGTGCTTAAATTTAGGCGCATAAATACTACCTTTGACTTCAAAGTATGGGTTCATGAATTGAACTGCTTCTAGATGGGGTAGTCATGTGAGTTCGGTAAAAGATAAGACTTCTTTTCTCCCAGGCTATTAAATAACAATAATTGCTTTCATTCACACAGGTAATTCACTCTCCATGTTTACTTTTTAAAGACAAATTGGCAGTATCGTGGATAAGAATGGAAAACAAGCTGATATTGAGTTAGTTGCTGGGAAATATTGCAGTCATAGATATTTTTTCCCACTTTCAATCACCAGTGGGTATGTGAGGATGGAGCAGAGGGCTCTTCCGCTTACAATGAGCAAAAAATGAAGAGCCTTCCTGGCAAAGGGGCAGTTCAATGAGCACAAAACAGTAAATAAAAGCACATGTAATACAGAGCCAAGTAAAAAAAAAAAAAAAAGGCCCAAACTCTTCTTCCACAGCCACCACCTGAGTCCAGGTGGTGGTGAGAAGCTCAACCAGGAGCACAAGCCCAGCAGGGGGCTGGGGTGCTCCCTGGTTCCATTTTTACCTCAAAATGCATGGGCATAACTAGGGGAAAATGATATAATAGTAATAATAAAGAAAACCAAGAAACTTGTATTTCCCAAATTTGAGCTGACAGGCACTAGCAGCACTGCTCTTGCCCAGCACAGAGAGAACATAAACTGAACTGATCTTTGACATTTCACAGATTTGTGAGAGGGTGAATGAAGAAAACATTCCTGGGGTTAGACGGACAGCATTGTCAAATAGTCGTGTCAAGAGGCCATCAGAGAATTTTAATATTGCTTATATTGGATTGATATGTGTGATGATGGGAAACATCTCCTCAGTGCCTCTGCCTAGCCCACTTTCTTCATTTTTCTCTGATCTTTTCTCATTACTATGATTATTATTGATTGTAGATAGAGCAGAATCACCAGGAAGAAATATAGTAGGCTGTACTGAAGCAGAATGAGAACTCTGACTCTTTTCATAGGGAATTGAATTGCTTGAACTCTAAACAAGCCCTCAAGTTGCTAACTCAAAACCCCTCAAAAATGAACTGGAAGGTCCATTAGCTTATGCAGTCTCTTTTTTCCTTTTATTCAAACTGAACTCTTTTGGACTTGCTGAGCTCTAATTATAAGTAAAGAGCACCAGATATTCATACAAATAAAACAACACAAGAGCAAATCAGCAACAATCCACAATGGGTAAAATACCCAAGAGGAGTGAAAGCTCTCTTTTCATTTAGGAAAATCCCCCCAAAATACAGGATTTATTTTCTATTCCCTTATGCCATTTATAACCCTAGGCAGTTATCATAACTGCCAAAAAAACATCCTTCAGGTTAGCATTTTCAACAAACAAAATCATTCTAGATAAGTCTCTTGATAGTCTAAAACTATTTCACTTTCCCTGTAGAATGGGCATTTGTGGCCGATCTCCAAACACTACAAACCTAGATAACATATAAAGTTGTTAATTGAGCTAACATACACAAACAAAAAAGAAATTTTAAAACGATTGCCATCCTTTTAATTACAACAATACTGGAGAATAATAGGATGCATCTCTGAAGCACTCGCATCAGGGTACAAGATGATGCTCAGTTGAATAGGAGTATTTTCATTTCCGAGTTTAATTCTAATGAAGTTCATCTCAATATTAGTTTGAACTTGAAACAAAAAAGATTTTCCATTTTTACCAGAACAATGGATAAAGTCAGGGGGAGATCCAAAATGGATGGGGAACAGCACTCTGTAGACAGTACTCACAAATGAAGCCCATTTAGCATGTGCTTCTGCTTCTCTATCTGCTTCTTGAAAGTGGATGGTACAAAAATGTCTATCCCTGTATTTAGCCTCATGGCGACATGCGTTGTCTTTACAAAAGCCTAGATGGCATGAACTGCATGAAAGTGGAGATAACTAAACTTGAATATTTACAGACCTTTAGAGTCAGACAGTTAATTAAAAGTTATTGACAAAATGTAAGAAATTAGATAAGCAAATTACTAGAATTTGCTAATTTGTAGTGGTGATATTAGACTAGAGAATCTAAGATGAATTTGAGTACTGAGTCACTCCGAAGCATACACACAGCACAGTCCAAGCAAGCTCTATATGCAAGCAAAATTTTTATAAAGCATTTATTAAACACTATTATACCTTACTTTGTACTAGAAAAGGATATAGACAAAGAGTAACACAAACCCATGTAAACAAACAACTGGTCATTTACTATTAGGCAAGAAGAAACTAATTAGATGTAAGTGGATGGTCTCATACCTGTTGTACAATTGTTGTTAGCTCCAGACAGAGCTGTATGACGTTATTTCTTGTAACTGAGTAATCTGTCACAGCAGCAAAAGGTGATCTAAAAAATAAAAGGAAGGGAAAAAGGTGTTGAATTGCACTGGCATATTTACACTTTCTTCATGGGTGCATAATGTGTTAAGTACACGTAGTGCTTTAATAATGATTTTTGTCTAGAAATAGTAAAAGCACACAAAAAATATCCAAAATCTACTACTAGAATTGTAAAATACAGAATATTTTATTCCTGGAAAATGCTCAACTTTTCTTTGTTTCCCAAGTTCTTCAAGGCCTCTTCTTTCTCAAGCACCCTTCACGCAGCCTTGCAGTTCGTTTGGACGGCCCTCACTTTCCTGGCCGTGCTACGTCGCCTTCCGCAGCGGCGGTTAAACACCCTGGCAAAGGCAAGCAAGGGGACTCCTTCCATCCGTGACACGAGCTGTGCCCAGATGCAAATCAGCGCAGAAAGGCATTTGGTTGATTCCCTGGGGTTCTGGGAACCTGATCTAATATCTGGTGAAATTGCTGGAGGGACTAAGGGGACGTCAAATTTTTAGCCAAAAGGGAGAAAAGCATATTGAACTGGAGGGAGATGAACACTCAGAAGCATCTGCAAAGGCTAAGCTGGAGGCACAACCTCACATCCTACTAGACTGTGCTATAATCAGAAAGGCTTAGCGAGAGGAAAGTGTAATTCAGCATTTAAAAAGGTCACCTACATGCATTCGACATCTTAAAACTTCATGTCAAAATGTTTTAAATGCCTGTCTGCCTAGAAGCTTGTTTGTTTTCTCTCTTATCACTTGAGCTAATAAAATATATTGCAAAGCACTGCAAGGATTGTAATATCTGAACTTGTCAATAAATCATCCACGGTGCGAAGACCTACTCAATAATACTTTAAAAATGTGAGCATTTAAATTAAGCTGGGGACCAAGACCCTTCCTCAACTGCCTTCTTCCATCACATCTTAAGAGCATACATATTTACATATGCCTTTAAGAGTTTTACAGTGCCAGTTGATATTATACATTCCTCATTTAAACTTACAGACAAGTTTCCAGTACAAAGAATTCTGTCATAAACCTGTCTGAATGGTAACTCCAAATATGGTTCAGTTGACTCTTAATAGGTTTCAACATTTTTTCTATATACAGAGTTATTGCCAGTATCAGCAGATTTGGAACGGTCCATTACTAAGTCCATGTGGACTGCTCTATCTACCATAGTGTTCCTAATACTCCCTTTTCTTGGCAGTGCTGCCCTGATGGTTAACAAGAAGAAATGATCTGCAAAGCCATTA